TAGCATATTGTCATGACCTACTGGCAATGAATGAGTGAGTAGCAAACTGAGACCGAGCAGTGAATAAATATTCCTAAATGCACAACCAGTTAAGCGCCAGTCATAACTGGCATGACTGGCACTGGCGGAGTCGGAGGTATAAAGCAAAAATCTATCCGGGAGTCAAGTGGTCGAGGCCTAGAGACAATCTCGATCTTTCAGGGTTTGCAATAAATCCATACATATCAATTTAAAAAAAAATTACGATATAGTTACCAAATAATTTCGATTATCCAGATAATTTTGTGTGTGATGTTCCATTTCCGGTGTTTAGCGGTCAATCTGTTAGAGGAAATACTATTTTTATTGGCATCTGCAAGAACGCATCTTGGTTTATATCCGGTTTACAAGTAACTTCGTCAGTGCCATTTGATTTTAATCTTGAAGTATTTTTTTATCAAAACTTGTTAGTAAAATTCAGTTCGATTGATTTGAGATTGAGTCATGTGATCCGCTGTAACACAACCTTTACTACAAGCAAATTTTGAGATTATTTAGGAGCAAATCAGCGAGTTAATCAAAGTAATGGAATACATGATGCTCTTAGTGCCATGTCAAATCGCAAACGCAATAAATACATAACCTGCCTTTTTTCAAAATTAGCTCAATGGCCATTAACATTATTGCTCCCATTGCCTTTGAAATGTTTATGTAAATTATCAATTAGATCGATCTGAATAGGAACAAATACTGACTAACTGAAGCCTTTCGACGAATACTGGAAACAAAGACGAGTAAACAGGAACTAGAAAATTTTCGGGACGTGTGCAATCTTATGTTTCTGCTTCTGCCATACCATACCATACACTATGTATATTATTGATTTCTTCATTGGAATTGAACAGCTAAGAGTTATTTTTAACTGTTACAATTATGTTATCCAGCTTCTAAATGCAGTAAAATATCGATTTTGTGAGGCAAATTTTATTTAGAGGGAGACGTTAATATTAATGGCAGATAAGTGTAATAATTTTCCAACATGTTTGGGTCTTTTTTGATTTTGACAATCCTGGGCACTTCATGCTGGTATTAATTAATAAACATTTTTTAAATGCAAATTACATTACCTACAGTTGGAGTAATATAAAAAGTTTCTTTTCTGGATAAGCAAGGCATTTACCCGTATTCCATATTACATAATAACTTATAGAGTATAAATGCATCAATAAAAATTGTTAGTTAATTGCATTTGATCATTGGTATGACCTGATATTTATGATTTATGATGATTTAGTTATCACGAAAATTTCAAAAAAAAGTAATAAAAATGTTCCATTTTTGACAAAAATAGAAACTATTAACTATTATTAAATGAACTTATTTAAGTGTATTTTAAATCAAATTATATTAACGAAAAACTACATACTACACCTTAGTGACCAACCTTTTTTTTTAATTTATTCATTCTGTAAGGTTTATTAAGAAGGTAGATTATTTAAAATTTTTAGAAATATTTAAACAAAATGTTGTTTAATCATCAAATAATATATAAATGATTTCAGTAAGAATTGTATTGACAATTCCATCCCAGCCTTTCGTTTATTTAAATACGCAAGAGAAAAACGAGAATTTAGAATACTAACCGTTTTTTCTATTGTAAAATTTGCCTCCATTTTCTATCACACCGTTTAAATTAAGTATCCGGACGCTGATGCTTTAGGTTACGAAATGCTAGTTAAAACTCAATTAATTTATTCTCCATTGACCCAATTTGCAAGTTTTCGGATGAAAAAATTGCCACGAATTATGATTTTTGGAAACGAAAAATTAATAGCTAAGCTGGAAGGTTGTACGTCCAACGTCAAACAAGTGTCAAAATGTGATATACATAAAAGGGATTAGAAATGTAAGGAATCAAACCAAATCACACTGAGTATGATGACTGGTCATTATCTCTTGACTCGGGTAAGCCAGACATTATATACCTTGACTTCAGCAAAGCTTTCGATAAAGTGCCACATCGACGCTTGCTATTCAAACTTCGGGGTGCGAGGCAAGCTGTTGGGCTGGATAGCCGCGTTTCTGACTCACCGATCGTTTAGAGTTCGAATTGATGACGCTTTTTCAATACCACAACATGTGGTTCTACAGGGATCAGTGCTGGGACCTGTGTTATTCTTAGTGGATACGTGAATACCGTGGACTTGCATAAACTCTCGCGTGAGCGCTTATACTGATGATATTAAATTATTTCAAAATGCTTTAGCACATGCTAATGCATTGCAGGGAGACTTAAATACTATTTGCAAGTGGTGCGCGAATTGGCTATTACCACTGAATGCTCAGAAATGCTCTGTATTACATGTTGGAAAGAACAATCCTGGTTTGGAGACATTGTATCCAGTGTTCAGGTGCGTGGTCTGTACATGTATCAAATAGTACCAAGAAAGCGAATTTCACCTTATTGTTGTTAAAAAGGACTTCTAAAAATCCCAGTCCTCGCCTCCCTGGCAGACTTCTTTTTACCTACATTCCCACAATCCTGGAATTTGCTTCACTTTAACTTAGACATACACCTGACTACGACCGTCTCAAAATGCTTAATCTGCCAATATTAAGTCAAAGTCGGCTGCAGGAGGATCTTATCCAACTGTTTCCGGTTTCCATCTGACGCGCCTTTTGTAGTTTTAAGCAATGATGGACTCCTCATTGATTTAACATAAGGAAAGAACAATTGAGGACATCGCACCATCTGCATGTTGTGTGCACCGAACTTGTCTGGGTTTAAACTAAATAGCATTAACTAAATACTGTATGACATTCTCATGCCACTGTATATGTGCATAATAGGTTCTTCTTCGCACATTATTCTTTGAAATAATAAAAAAAATCCTTGTTCCTTGAGGACGTCGACTGCACTGAAGCTAAAAAATAGAGTCTCTGTTTAGTGCAGCTAACGTCTCAAAACGACTCAAGTAGATCTTGAAGTACCAAGAGTACAAAGACCGTTAGCAAACAATTTTATTAGAAATATAAATAGAAATGTTCTTTAGATCTATTCACTGGATGTTAGCGACCACATGTTGGAATCTGTCTTTGTCACTTGCAGTGTTTATGAGCTCTCCGATAATCTTCAGACCCGTCCATTTTCTGATGTTTCTCGCCCTTGACAGCTGTTTTCCATCTACTTCCCTTTTGCCTTTTATCTTTTGTTCGAGTATGAGCTGTACGATGCTATATTTTTCATTTCCAATTATGTGTCTCATGTAGGAGGTTTCCTTTGTTTAATGGTACCAAATAGTCCTCTCTCCTTTTGCATCCTATTGAGTACGTCTTCATTTGTTACTCTATCGGTTCAGGGTATTTTTAAGAGAGGTGTGTATGTCCATATTTCAAAGGCTCCTATTCTATTTATGCTGCTGGTTTTCATGGTCCATGCTTCTACCCCATAGAGCGCTACGTAATGCAGACAGTTGCAATTGCATATACCTGCAGCTCAGTACGTTTCTAAATTTAATAAATATTGCAGGTGCTTTCTCTATTCTTGTTTTAATTTCCCTCTCAGCTAACTGCCAAGATATTGATATTTTTCGACCCATTCTATGACTTGGTTTTCTATCCTGAGTGTGGCGTTAGCATATATTTGTTTGTCTCCACTAGCGATCACGTGTCCTGTAACTCATGTCATTTGCAAGTAGTACCGAGTCATCCGCGTATCTCAGGTTCGATATTGGGATTCCATTATCCTTTATTCCTTGTTCGGAGTTCTCAAACGTTTCATTAAAAATCTCTTCGCAATTGAATAACAGTGGGAGTACATATCCCTATCTCATGGCTCTACGTATACGGCTGTCTTCGAGTCTGATGTTTTGTGTTTTTATATGTGCTCTTTTATACTAGTAAAGTTTTCTACAAATCTGATATCTTTTTGATCCAAGTCATCTCAATGAGTTTTCTATGTTATACTTGGTCAAAGGCCTTTTCTATTCTGCTATGTAACTACTATATATATTTACCAGTAATTTACGAAAATCTCTTGGACTGAACTAAATACTTGCCTCTGCAATCGAAATCCAACTGTAAATGTAAAAGGTCGAAAAAAAAGGACAAAAATTTTTGGGCTGATTGTTTGCCAAGCCAAATGGTGTTAATAATGTTGCAAAACTTACCTTAGGTCATTCACATCTAGCTTTTGCAGGAAGATGTCGCAAAATTAGTTAAAAAATCAAATCATTTTTATATCAAACTCATATTGAATCTTCTTCACATACCCGAGGTAGTTGAAAACTACAAAATTTTGTTCATTATATAAAAATTTCAATGGTAAAACAACTGGTATGAAAAATTTTGAATCTTGTCTGATGGAATAATGAATATTTTTTTAATAGGATATAATTTTACTGTTTAATGTATTTCTGAAAATAAGAAATAAATATTAACTTGGAAATAAGAGATAGGGAGATAGTTGCGTTCCTGAATTCTCATTAATGTTTCTGCTTTTCAGACAGTATTTTAAAATTATTTTAACTTTTCTCTAAAATTTATTGAGGAATGAAATACAATCCCCAATTACTGTTGCAAATTGCGGTTCATTTTTAAATTGCAAAACTGTTTTATTAATGCTTTTCGAAGTTATTACAGAAATATCTCTATCGCTAGTAGAATACTGCAGAATCAGTATTTCAAATACCACCAAATATTGTACAACCAAAAATTGGACAATAGATATCGTAAGCAATAAATTAGCTCTGCATTTGTATTGCATTTCACAACTTCTTCTCTATCTCTATCTGGATATATAATATATTTAATATATAGGCGAGTCTCTCCCGTTTTCACTTCAGTCTCAGTTTAGTTGCATTATCCAGATCGTCGACATTGCCAAACATTTTTTAACTATGGAAAGACTAGAATGATGTTTCCGCAATTGCAAGGATTTACGCTTTCCATTTAACTTAAATTGGTATACATATGTATGAATTGTCAGGGAGAAATAATTAACGCTGGTTATTATGCTGAAATTTATTTTATTATACAAAAATCACAGATTACAGGAAAAAAGTGATCGCCAATACATTTTAGAAATGGACGAAATACAGTTTTATAATGTTCGATAACGTAGTTTGGATAGTAAAGCGTCATACGTAAAAACTGAGTTAGTTTTGGCAATACATGGAGTTTATATATTTATACATTTATTGACATTAGGGGTAAGATATATCAGTAAACACAAAATGCAAATACACTTTGCATCGCATGAAAGCCTAAGCGAATAAAACGCAGCTAGCCAATCAGGCTAGGCAGGATATTAATTTTTTTATTTTGATTATCCAAATTTCATATCTTGGGAAGGATATTGGCAACTTAATGCTGACATTATCACTGAAAAAAGAAGTAGTGATGCGGATCAAGATTGGCTTTGGAAAGGAACTTCACTATAGTTTATTGCTAAACCTAATAGTGTAAAAACAGTTCTATCATGCTTTGCGGTGTCCAATATTTTAACACTAGAGTCCCTACTAACAAATAACGCTTCTCAAGCGGAGATCGTTCGATAGTCCTTATGCTCGAACGTCCTGTCAGAGTAATTCCTTCAGGCCAGGGAGTGCCAAAAACAGCTCACCAACTCACACGACATCTATATGGATACGTTGTTGGTGTCACTTGTCAGCTACGTGTATTCTCAAGCAATAACATCCCTTAATATGTGTTAATTACCCAAGAATACACGTGACCAGCCAAGTTACCTCAAAATGCAGATCTCCGTGGTACTGGCTCCTGAAAAAAAAATTCGAGATCACTAACAACCTCGAAGATCGTCGGGCAAGATTGTATTTCGGGCGGCTTTGCCGGTACGAAATCCATTACGCGACAGAAATTTAGAAGCGCGAAATTAAATCCGGCATGTTTATGAATCGTAAAATTCCGTCACTTAAGTCAGAGCATTAAAACAAAGCTATCATACTAAAATTACCTACACAAATGGAAGCGGATTAAAACTATTTACATCGAGAAACTCTGCAAGGCAAAATTAGTAAATATGGAAAGGTAATTCCTTCTTTCAGAATAAAATAACGAGCTAATTTTACGGAACCTTAAGGTAATATCCTCTATTTTTTACAATGAAACTAGCGATGGAAATCTTATTAATAGTCAAGAATTCCATGTTTTTTATAACAAATATCTCTAGCAGTGCCTCGAGCAAACCAACTTTGAATAAGTTACCGTGTATATTAAAAATATAGTTTTGAAGTTTTCTAACAAAAAAAAATCAGTTAATGTAGTTATGCACTTGACTGTTTATTACAATGAATATTAATTTACATTGTTCGATTTGTAGAAGTCATCAAGACACACAAAAAGCATTGTTTATCATGTCCCTACTTTTTTTCGATAAATTACCTATAGAACCTATAGAACCACTGTTTTTAAAGAACCATGCTTGAATTTGTCCACTTGACCTGTGTTTCCAATATATTGTAATAATGGCTATTTCATAAGTTTTTCCATAATTTTAGAAAAAATGCTTAGTACTGAGATTGGAATTGGAATTGTCCTTTTCGTCTTCGCTAGTTTGTAAATCGCATTATTTATATATAATATAATTTCCCCGATCTCATTTTCATTTGTCAGCCTTATGTTCATATTATTATTACCACTAACCTCTTCAAACGGTTTAATACCGTTGGGTTTTTCGATGGTGATCGCGTTTTCCACAGATCCGAGTCACTTCGGACATTTCCCTGCCATTACCGCACTGATTTGGGAGCAATCGGATGTTTTCGGACATATTACTGCACGACTTGCATTTTGAAGTCCATTTTGATGTCTGTTGTTTGCAAAAATGTACCCAAACACTAACGACCGTAGAAAAAGTACAGAATGCAACACGTTTGGTAAACACACAAATATATAGAACTGTCCAAAATACGTATTTTTCTGGACTAATCTCTAAATTAATAGGAACTTTGTGTTTTCTTTGAGCTTACATAAGTGACTCAGCAATCATATATCGGCTAGCATCTTTGTTAAGTCGAAATAACTGCGCTCCGCTCGTGCCAAATAAACTCGTGGCTCAAATGTCGTTTAACACACTTGTTGCATAATATACTATTTAGTACGGAAATAGTACGACAAAAATTACAAATACAAAAATTGATTATACTCCCACAATCAAATCTCGAAAAATTGTTTAAATATTACATCGATATTTATGAACCATAAGCTTCCACACACGACAACATTTCATTCCTATCAATAGTCCTCCTCTGTAAAAGCTCTCCATTCATGAAATCATTAAACTAAATCAACACCACTCTTTAGGGGCATAAAGGGTGCGCACACTATTTGGATTATATCCAATGTACGAACTAAAGCAATCTCCGTATCAGCAATGTAAATTTTTAATATATTCAATTAAGGTTAATTCCCTCTTGCGTAATTACGTATTGATCAGCTGATCCTGGCTACGCTGAAGTTAGATCATTACTGCATGACTTGGCGGGAGCATAATTCATTTAAACAAATTGTTAAGAATTAATAAATAATAAATGTTTTATTTCATAAAAATAATTTTGGCGAAACACTAAACTGGGCGAAAATATTGATAAAAAGGAGGATGAATATCAATGTTAAAAAAGACGCTATTTCATCCTCAACGTAAGAATGTTCGGTGAACAAGACCATACCTGACTATGAAGTCACAATAGGTATAATAAATTCAAGTTTATAAAAATTGTGATTGCTAAGTGTAATTTAATAATAGATGTTTATGGCATATTTTAAACCCACCTGGAGATAATATTTTAAGTTGCTTTACTTTAGAATGTCGTTGTAAGGAATATAACTGTTGGAAAAAATATTTGGTAAAAAACGTTGTGTTCTAGACGGTGAAACGATACTATACCGGTTATTTACTGAATCTAAAATTCCAGGGGCGTTCGGACCGCACTATTTTGTGTGTAACAGTGTAACAGACTGTACCTTTCTCTCATCTGCCATAGAACGTCATTCAATAGAGACCGATTTTTGAGATACGGATACCACAAATATTGCTTATTGGATACGCTTAATTGTGTCTACCTTCACCGGGGATGGATAGTAGACTACGTCAGTAAAATTGAAATGACTAAGCACCAAAGAAATTCTGGAAGTACAAAATAGTATATTGTGCAACAAGTGTGGTAAACCTAAAACAAACGTGTTGCATATGACCATTAGTTTCGGACTACATTTTTGCAAAACAACACAAATACATTAAACGACATAACCGTCAGAATTGACAAACGCCAAAATTAAATCCCGGAAATGTCCGAAATGGCTCCAAACCCTAGGAAGCAAAACAAAAGCAGTACAAATAAATGTTTAAATTATACTTCATTTTAAGAAATCAAGAATCCGAATTAATATTTAAAAAACGTAGTTGACGATGCTAACTGCTCAAAATTTATCAAAAAATATTTTAGAGTTGAGAAAATTATATCAGTTTTCAATTTCAATTTGAAAATTATCAATTTCAAAAATTGAGCAAATGGATTTGGGATTTTTCGCAAATCACCCTTTATTTCACAAATTAAATGGCAAAAGTGTGTGTGAGGGTTGAAATGGTATCAAAAAAGGGCAACCCTTCTCTAATTGAACGAACCTTGAGCTCTTACCGTCTCAAATGGTGCTTACCACACTTGTTGCATAATATTCTATTTCCGATGTCCTGGTCCCAAACTAGCCATCATAATTGTTTTTCTAGTACGAACCTTTCTTTTCGGTGTACCTATTTTTTATTGTTTATTTGATTATCTTATAGGAATTCGACAACACTGTAACAGAGTATTGAATCGATATCAATGAAGAGAACTTTTCTCTAATGACATCAACTGACTCTTTATGTGATCTTATATATTACTATATTACATGACTTGGCATCAAAAAGTTACAGTGGTAGGTGGCAACAAAGGATATGATGTAAATGTAACTATTTTTTATCAGAACATTTCTTTAATATTAATAACTACTCAATTGAATTTTATTTAAAATGTTAACCATAAACATTGTAAGTGTTGTAACAGCGACAGGTTTTAATTTACATTTGGCAGTATAATGTGAGTAGTTTTATTTTTACCGTCTACTTATACAATGTGGTAGTATTGAGAAATTGAAGAAGCTTGTGAACATAACTTTTGAATGAATTATGCGTCTATTTTCCACATCCAGCTAGGCAAGGTGATTTTGTGAGAATCTTATTGAATTTTGAATTTTCTTAATGCATTTTTTTAATTATATGTATTATTAAAAAAGTACGCAAAATGTTAAATTCAAAATAATTACAGGTCCACATGGTTAGTTTAAAATATCAGAAATGCCCACTATTTAACGAATCCTTAAGCTTAAAGTTTCATATTAAAGCAAACCTCCCAATATGTTGTCTCAATCTCAAATTAATGACGGCAAGTCTGTAAATGTCGGATCTATCGGACATGGAAATATTTAAATATATGTAAAACCTTACGTCGTTATACAAGCAGTGCATGGAAGGTAGCGTTTCCATTTTTTGACGCAGAATTTAGAAAAGATCTGGAGTCTTGTAAGGTTCTTTATGATGTTGGGTGAATCACAATTTTGCCATTGCCATTGGCATTTTTGCCATTTCTTTGATACATTGCGTTGCTATGGAAATATGAACATATTAAAAAAATATATATACTTTTTCTTTAAAAACTGGAACCACAACAATTACAGATACCGCCTAAACTGCTTCAATTAATAACTTAATAATAAAGAAAATGATCAACTACTAACTAATATAAAACTATTCAGAGGCGTGTAAAAAGGGTTTTAAAAAATTTGGAAAAAAAATCATTTTCAATTTATTGGTTTTGTTAAGGGTTACTGTTTTGAAGATGTTATAGGAGAAATAGGCTTACTTTCTTTAAAGTTCAAGTTTAAATTTGAAATTTAGAAGCTTCAGCAAAAAAGAACGCCATATAAATAAATATAGCCGAAAAAATATACGAAATTTTGTTTTTATATTAAAATTAATCTAAAATATAAAGATACCGTTTAAACTGCATTAATAACTTGTAAAGAAAATAATTAAAACCAAATGCCTGCAATCGACAGTTTATGATGTAAATAATTAGTAAAAAAATAAGTTTAAAAACAGGTGTCTGATTTAATGCAATTTAATGAAATTCTACCTGCATAAAACACTTTGCTTTGCCCAAAATATTTAAGAATTTACTGACACCTATTTTATTATTCATTTATTATGCGTACGACACAATTGTATACTTCTTTTAATATATGGATGAAGTTGATTTAGCTGGAAATAAATTAAAGGAGGATCTCACTAGATCAAAATTTGAATTTTCGCAAAAACATAACGTAACCTAAAGAAAGATATAAAGATTAAATTTCTATCTATCTATCGAAAACTCAAAACATGTCATTTCAATTTGACAGAGATACTCTACGGTTTGTAAAGGGATAAGGTCGATTCAGATTTATTTATGACATGCATCGTCGTCAGCCTGAATCTCCCAAATTTGCCTGTACTAAATGATTTTCTATGTCAGGTAGAAGCAAGTTTCACTTTTCTACATTGTTTCATAAAACAGTACTGTCCGAATGTCCCTCATATTTGTTACGCAAAATAAAATTCCAAACCAACATGCATTCGTTGAAACTGCATTCTTTCGCCTATTTAAATACATCGTTTCTTGCAAGATGTTTTTCTTGCAACATTTATATTCTTTACAACATTATTCCCGAGCAACTGAACA